CAGCACAACACCACCCCTTTTGCTGATGGTTTCACCCTCCAAATTCCTGGGCTTGGGGTGTCAGTTATCACGAGTAAACAACGGGTCTAAGTGACCATTACAAACAGTGGAATAAATAAAATCATGAGATATTTTAAATGCGGTCCGATCAATTGACACCATTCAGTTTGATTATGACATGATTCCACTGTGGAAAACCCAGGTGATAAGATATGCACGAGTTTGTAGGGGTAATTCCCATCACAAAGCTTTGACTTTGACCTCTCATCCGTGATCACAGACGTTATATTTTGAACAACAAACTTCATGAGTTCACACTGAAATGCCTCCAGATATGATTTAGACTCCATAAAACAGTTCTCCATAAGTTTTTGAAATGCGATGGAAATGTTTTTGACAGCTGACAAAGCGCACTGGACAGTTGTTTCGTCCTGATTTGACTTGTCAGCAGTGCGTACTTTCTGTGTCCCCGTCAGGACTTGCACCGCGATTCTTCGAGCTGGGACTTCAAACCCTTACCCTTGAGCTACACGGTCGGCGTCTATCATCCACAACCAACATCATCAACACTGCATGATGTCTGTGAAAAACCAAATGGACTAATCTAAACATTCACCATCTAAAGCCATAAGTTTTGTTAGCTAACAAAGTTTTATTTCACCGTTTCTAAACTAAAGAATTACACTCACTTTCTGGTTCGATGGAGTGAAAATTACCTAGCAAATGTACTGTACTGTCCACCTTTTCTTGTGATTAACGAATCGTTGCGGATAAATATTGCGGTTGCATGGTTGAAACATTTATCGAGACATACAGATCCGTCTGCATATTCCATTAACGGTATTAGCTTTGTCTTGTTGCGAGCTGTTCAAGAGGCCACTGGTGTCCTTTTTTAGTAATATATAACATTTGTGTGAAACAAGTCACACAACGTATCTCTACCTTAAAGACACCTGCTAGTAAAGAGACTGTTAGTGGTTTCACTGTAATCCTACCCGTTGATTGGCACACCTATAAGTTTGTTTGCAATCAACACTTGCTGGATCGATGATATTTGTGTCGGATTTTATAAGAAATTCGGAAGATGGCTAATATTAAACAGCCAATCAGCTCCGGGGGTAAACCTGAGGCAAGCCTTACTGACCGAAACCACTGAAGTTTATTTCTTTGCTGATTTTTGTCGGGTTAGAATTATTCCAGTTTGATCATTATACTCAAACTTCTAAGGACTACTTCTCCCTATTAGTTCTTCCAGCAATGTGCACTTACGATCTTCATTCAAAACCAACCACTGAGTTTTTTGTAGTCTGAAGGTTCGTCTTGATATTTTGGGATGTTCGCATAGTTTTTCTAGTTGAGTTAATTTAAAATTGCGCAACATAAGCACGGTTTATCGGGACAACGACATGATTCATTGCCGCTCACCCGGAATAGCCGGTTGTGTCTCTAAACCAAGAAATTTTCCCTTATTTTTTGCATTCAAGTAACAAAGAATCAAAGCAAACAATGATAACCCTGAATAATGATAAGTAACATAAAATGTTTGTAAACATTTCACGTTTGAGAGCCGTTCAAACCGGCTTCATCTACCCATGTACCCCTCTGTTCCTCAGATGAATTTGGGGAAGCACTGGACTCGAGCTTCACTCTTATTGGAGCTCGTCCAAGAAAGCCTTATCCTATGGAAGGGTTTTCATTAGACTATATAGGGGTAATGCACATATCTCCATTTGGAGTTGACAATCTAATTACTAGCCGAATGTCTTTGCAATTGAAAGTCAAGCAAGAGTGGCGTGTCTAGTATTTTCCGGCTGCACAGTTTACTGAATGAATCTAGCGAAGACCGTGCATGAAGTTGTAATATTACGGTTGGTCAATCAAAGCAATGATCATTTGAAACTAATACTAAATGTGGATCAATATTAGTCATCCTTTATAGATTTGTCAGTATATGTACCTTCGGGTATCGAGTACCAAGAACAGCAATAAGCGACGAGTGGACCATCCATTACTCCTTAATCCATGGGGACTCCATTTTATTCAGTGTAAACACTCGGCTAGAACACACAATGAGCATGTGTTATCTTGCATGTCTTTGTAATCTGAAAATAGCGAAATCATGAAATCGCCTTATTTGATACGACTGTGAGGTGCAGTTCTGTTAATTTTTTTCTGGGCTTCAAAATAGTTACATTACTTGTGACGAGACGAACGTCAATCATCTAGCAAATATCCCAGGGATCCTAGTCGCTTGATTCGAATTTTTGATAGATTATATTTTTCATGCCAGTTGTATTTGCTATGCCACAGGGTCTATTATTGTGGAATTACGTTAAATTTACCATTTTTGGGGAGTAGTTGATAGTGAGCAAATGCGATCACGTGATAAATACGGTCATCTTTTGTCTTACCCGTTGAAAGAATGCGCTGCCTTCCTTTCCCCTGTACTGTGTGAAATTCTCAATGATTGTATTTCGTAGCAACGTATACCCCTCTGCTGGAGAATAGCCCCTATCACCCCTGTACCGAAGAAAGGATCCTCAAAATTCCGTCTCATTGCCTGCACCTCAGTTGTCTTGAAGGTGGTTGAAAGGCTGCTCATTAAGACCTTGTCCACACAGTTCAATGTGACCCGAACCATTTTGCATACACCCATTCCCGCGGTACACTGGATGCCCTTACTTACCTGTCCCACTTTGTTTTATTCAGCCTGGATGAGAAAAGCAAGGCTGTAAGTATATGTTTTCTTGACTATAACGGCACTTTCAATACAATTGATAGGCAAATTTTGCTAAATACCCTCTCTTCGGGCGGAATTCAACCTTCGACGAATGAACCCTTGGCCAACTATTGCTTTAATCGTCTGCAGTTCACATGCTACAAAGGTGAAATATCTTCACTAATGCTCCTCAACAGGCGTACTGCAAGGCGCTATTTAATCCCTTTTTCTATTTGCTGCTTACATTTCCTCTATGCCTGTGAGCAATTCTTCTCTTCTCGTTAAGTATGCAGACGATAGAATATTCGGACTACCCTACTCCAACTGATCATTTCAAACCACTCTACAAGAAGACGTGTCAAAAATAATTGAGTGGTCTCAGCAAAGGACCCTCTGCATGAACCCCCAAAATGTTATGACGCAATATTTTCTTTTTTGAAAGGGCAAAAGTATGATGAGTTATCAAATGCCAGCCCGCCTTTATCTAACCTCAGTGACCAGATGGAACGACAACCTTCTGTCAAATACCTTGGCGTTATTTTCAACCGTAACCTCACCTGGTCTGACCGCGTCAATCAGGAGGCTCACGTTTAATGTTTTACGTCTGAAATCACTGTCTATCCCAAACCATTTCACAACGCGTTTTGTTTTTGCTTATGTTTTGTCCCACTGGCTTAGTGGGTTCTCTGTTATCTTCCCTGGTCTTTTTAACAAGGACCTCAAACTCATTTCCCGATCCCTCAAGTTTCTGTCGGTTTGTAGTTTCATACCACGGGAACATCTGGTACAGTATGTGGAGACACCAACTCAAGTCCTGTAAAACATTCCCTAACCAGATTTTATTCGATATTTCCCACCTCCTTTATTCCTCTCTTAGTCAGTGGCTTTCTCACTCATCCATCCGTTCCACTCACAAACTTATAAAGGCATGCACTGAATTTTACAGGCGCTCTATTGTCCCGTATCTTGCTAGATTTCTTACAAACCATAAACTCGTTGCAGGAAATCTGTGCAAAATTTTAAACTAAATCAATCATAAACACCCGGGTATGCCAGTGGTTTCTAATTTTACTGTCCGTTTTCACTTCCTTTGATTGTTGTATTATAACTTTTTTCACTTTTTCACTTTTCACACTGTGGTTATGTGTGTGGTTGTTGAATGTCCACCTTTAAAGGTGTATAAAGCAATTCCCTGATTTGACTTGATTTGGTTCATAATAACCAGTTGGATCATTTTTAAGTAATTTCTGATCCTCACTCGTTCGCTTGCGTGTGCACATACGCGATACAGGGTCAGGCTACCATGCAGATAGCATAACGGGTGACAGAGACAACTGAACAGCTGTTTCGTTCTGATCGGGAGTCATCAATAGAACATTCATTTCGTATTAATATGCATCATTTTGCCTACAATTTCATAGTTCTCCGGCAAAATGTACTTTTTTGGGGGTGCTGCGAGATCAGAAAAATTCCACAAATATGTAAATGTGTCTTTCCGTAGGTAACTGCATTTGCATTCCTTAATGGCACGCTTGTACCCTCAATTGCATATCAGGTGGTCCACCCAGCTAGGTCATGTGACACACCAAAATACTGACGCGACGACATCGACCCAACCGAGACAGACACATCTCCGTGACTGGCATGTCGGACAACACGGTACGATCGATACCTCAGGCATACCTGGACGTTAGCTATTGGTTCATCAAGCGGCGGATGCTGACCTGTCTAGCCCACGGATTCGAATTACAACTGTTTATAAGGATTGGGCGATCAGAAAACGTTGCGAGTTTGTCGCTCTAAGAAACCCAACGAATTCCACTTTGGAGTAAATATTTACGGTGTTCGGGGCATCGTTTGGACTGGAGTATAGTTTTGCATCCACCTAGGTTGTGCAATATTTTGGACTGGCTCTTCAACCGGTGCAGTAAAATGCATATTATAAGTGCATTAGCGAAAGAAAAAACTGCATGATAATATGTTTGCTATTACTCTGTCCTGACAGTGGCAAAGTTTTGCGTCGAGCGATCCGGATGTCATGCCTACACACGGAACTGGTCTTGATCACACTTACACCTGTCTTCACATGTTTGTCAGGGTTGACGACGTCTCCTGTGTATTCACAATGCTCCACGCAACCAATCAAATGATCTGAAAGTGGAAACGAGCAATGTGTGCAGAGTGCAACCAACAGTATCCGTCGGTCGTGTAACACCCACACCTAACACGCCCAGATTATAAATAGGCCCACGTGGAACATCAAAACGGTATGCATACCAGGATGCGACTTATATTGTTTGTCGGCGTACTGGTCGTCCTTGTTTGGCCGTACCAAGCCTATCTCATATCTTCGTTCAATATTCAAGTATTTGGAGATAAAAAAATGACCAATCAAGAGGTGGTGAATATTTTACTTGAAGTAAGCAGCTGCTATCTTACGACGGGAGTCATACTGTGACCACAGATCTTAAAGCGCTACGATCTTGTTTGCATCCAAGAGATACGGGATTCCGACGGAGATTCATTTCAGAAGCTTGTGGCCCTTCTGAATGAGTAAGAAAAGGCAATTGGTTCACAGATTTTATCTAACTGCCGTTCATTTTTCCGAATAGGAAATTTGATCGAAAGAATATGTACTCGTCGTATGCGGGTGATCGATTGGGTCGAACGAATTCCAAAGAACAATACGGGCTAATTTACAAGTAAGTTGATACATGTTGCGACAACTCGTGAACATGATTGAGTAGCTATTAACACATATGCATACATACATGGGGTCGACCCCATTGAACATATGTTTATTACGGGATATCTTAGGCCGGGTCTTTCAGTTCCCCTTTTTGTATTGTAATGGCCACAACATGGCCTTCATCATCATAGTGATTCACGCNTTTAAAATTGCATAACCAGGTTTCTAGTCTGGCGATTTCGTACAGACTTTCACAGAACTGACTATCTCAACATGTTCAATCTTGTCGTACAGTAGTAGTCATTGATCACTGGACTGTAGAAAGCTGAGGTTTTTCAAGAGGTGTAAGTGAAATCCATGTCATGGTACACAAAATTGAGTTCATGTTTTCCCATCGAGAAAGGTTTATCTTATTCACATCTCACTTTGTATTGTCCAAGTGCTCTTATTTATCTCATCTGTGAATCATGTTCACATTTGTGTGTTGATAAATACTGAGCAGTTACTGTTTTGTCTTACATGAGAAGTTCTTTGCGATAACGTGTGGCACGTTTCGGGGATATCACACGTGTCTCCGTGCCGTTTGTTCTGTTGGCTTTTCGATTGCCCGTTCCCTTTCCTTGGTCTATTGAAGATTTTCTTACCTAACATATCAAGCCTCAACACTGGAAAGACTGCCAAAATCATTTCCCCATTGCATCTTAACTGGATCGCTCACATTGCGCCATCATTTGGACTTTAGTATGTGTCTGTCTTGTCGATATATTTTCCTCCTAAACACACACACACAAGTGAAATGTCACACTAATCCAGCACTCCTGGCGTCTGATATGAGAATACAACTGTTACTAAAACCAGCGAGTTCATTAGGGTCTATTGTCTATTTATTGCTCTGTTTTACATTGGAGATATAGCTTCTAGCTTCTAAGAATTATCCACAAAGAGCTACAAAAATCAACCACATGTTTTGCCCTGGAAACAAATAAGTAACTAGAAATATCTGCGAAAACACTGATCTATCCGCCTACGCGACCACGCACACCCGTTCGGGTGGGGAATAAGGAATACTATCTCTTTCGCTTTTCCTGTGGCCAAGCATCCATAGGCTGCCTCTGAACCGTTAATGTCACCCATAATAAACTCTGATCATACTTGTCTCTCGTATTCATCGATTGACTAAGAGGCCACATTTTCTAGAACTGGAAACCTGTGGCTACTAGCCGTGCCTTAGTGATCACATGTTTCAGTGATTGAAGATAGATGCAATTTCGTTACAACAGAATAGCTGGCTTTTTAAATCATTGTAGGTGTTACGTTTCAATGTATCCTTTGCGCGCGGTAGAAAATAGAAGTGCGCACATTTTGCGACCACAATCTGAAGTAAATAACAAAAACCTCGGAAGGATTTGAATGGGAATTATTCGATTGGAAATCAGCACTTCTGAAGCGATTTAAACTGTTCAACTCTTATTTTTATGCAGTTTGTGCAAAACTGTGAAGCTGCTGCTTGTTATGGTCCGATGATGTACATGTCTATCCGATTTGACAACCGACATGGTACACTTTTTCATTCATAGATTCAATCAACCCAAGGAGAACTGCCTGAATCAATCAAACAAAATTAGGTCACATTCGTTTGTTACGGGAATGAATGCGAGTCATATGGCAGTTCACTCATTGATGGTTGTGGAACCAGTGGCAATGGTCATCCTTCGTTTCCACCCACTATTGTGCTGATCCATCTGCGCTCCATGTTTCGAAATGAATACAGAGCTATACCCCTTCCATTGGGAAAAGTGACAGACCTTCAACGTACCAACGTTGATCACCGATCTAGGGTAGCAAGAGTCCCTCAGAAGGATTTGTATGCTATAATAATACTTCATAAAACTGAAATAAAAAAATGCAGTAAGACCATTCAAGGAACAACTGCTACAATTCTTTCTACTGTTCCCGATGTCTATGCAATGTCAGAATCAATTTCCTGGAATGGATCTGCTTCCAGTCGATGGTCACTTAGAGAAATTCATCCTTTATTACTTCACAAAAGTTACCTATTATCCATAGGTTTCATCTAATCTTTTTGTAAGTGACATTCTTTCTCACTCACTCAGTTATTTTGATTGTTATTTATCTTTATTACTAAGGTAAACGATCTAATGGTATTAAACAATAATAAATTACAATAAACGGTAACAATAGAATCAGGTTTGTTTTAGCCACAACGTGAATACCAAAACA